TTATTTCCAAAGGCTTTATGTGTGTTTGGATGCCTGCAGAAAAGACTTTCTAGCTGGATGTAGACCTATCATAGGTGTTTATGGGTGTCATTTGAAGGGCATATTCCAAGGTATGAATCTCCTTCTGATTTTCTTATTATAACTACATTATCATAAGGCAATTTCTTATCCAAAGCATGTGAATCTATGTTACACTAACTATGTTAATGTATGATAGGGCAATTACTTGTGGTTTAATATTCTTATTTACTTATTTAATATTCTTAGTTTAATATCGTAGGGATTAGATGCTGTATTTGATTTAGTTGTGCCTAAAGCAGCACATAGTTGGTGTGTCAGACATCTTTATGGGAATTTTAAGACATTGCATAAGGGAAAAGTTTTGAAAGATTTGTTATGGAATGCTGCCAGAGCACCAAATGTGGCTGAGTTTGAGTGTGAGATGAACAAGATGAGGGAATTAGAGAGTGGTGAAGCTGCACATGATTGTTGATGAATATGGACATAAACAAATGGGTTAGGCATGCATTTACTATAAGGATTAAGTGTGATATGTTATTGAATAACCTCTATGAATGTTTAAATTCTTGGATTCTGCAAGCAAGGGATAAACTCATCCTCACCATGTTAGAAATGATTAGATGCAACCCAATGAGGAGGTTACAAGTTAAGAATGATTCAATAAGGGGTCATGAACAGCCAATTTGTCCTACAATCCAGAATAAACTTGACAAGTTCAAGTCATTGTCCAGGAAATGTGTCAATGTACTCTGGAAATGGCTTGTTCCAAGTGAGGGAGTCAATAACAGATCAATATGTTGTCGACTGCAATAGATGGGATCTCACTAGCATTCCTTGCCACCATGCCGTTGTTGTAATTTTCCGAAATAGGGAAAATGCTAAGGTATATGTGGATCCATTTTACACCAATGAGACATATATGAGGGCTTACGAACCTATCCTCAATCTTGTCAAAGCTATGCACATGTGGCTTATAATGTAGATTTTCGAACATCTAAAAAAGAGTATCCAAAAATCACAAATTAAATTACTCGCAAACGCATGAATCAACAATAGTATAGAGATATGCAAGTACGAGGTCGAATCAACAAGTACTGATAAAAACAACTTAATTAATTAAATCGCACTAAACCTAATTAAAAGAATGATTGATTGATTTGAGCTTAAATAGCAAGAATTAAAAGACAGAAAAATTTAATACTCAACAAAGAATTTAAAAGAAATCAAGTTATGAATCCACCAATGACAATCATATTTCCTTTTCTTAGAGCCAATTACTATCCAATTATGATGCCAATGTTAAAGGTTGTTATTTCTAAAGTATGAAGTAAGCCTGTCAATGTCATAAATCGTGTATCCCTATATGCAATTCTACCCTGTCAAGGTGTTAAAATTTAGCATACAAGTACCTGTTAAGATTAGAAGAATTCAATAAACCAAGTAGGACTAGTGGATGGTGTTTTTCTCCTAGCTATCTACTCTTCTTAGTCTTAGTTCCAATAAACCTAGTGGATGTCATTTCTCTCCTAGATTTATCCAATTATCTAGATGCAAAGTTCCTAGTGGTGATCAAGCAAGGATTTCAAACCTAGAATAAAATTCACACAAAGATTAAGAATTTAACACGGCATATAATTGAATTGAAGTCAACAAAGTACTTCACAAATAGTCATGTCATGGCTTCATCATAAACCTTAGAAAGGAATTTAGTTACACATAGTCATAATAAAAATCATAAGAAAAGTCATGAAGAAATAAAACCTGGAAAATAATGGTGTTGTGCACGCTTAAGCTCTCTGTCGTCTCTTGAATGGAAATTGTGTAAAAGGTAGTTAGAGTGACCTTAAGGTGGCCTTATATAGTGCAAAAATAACTAAACCCTAATCTCAAAAGATCTCGAAAAACTTTCCTAAAACAAAACAAAACCCTAAATAATTAAGGAAACAAACTAGGAAAGAATCCTTCTTTGACTGGGAAACACGTCAGCTGAATTGCACGAAATCTTTGGGGTCATTCAACTTCCTAGAAAAATCTGGAAAAATATGGAAAATGTAGCTTTATCTCTAAGCTTTCTAGGGACATATTACACGTCACTTAGAAAAATCGGGAAAGTCTTCAAATGTTTAATCTCCCATAGCAACACAGTTTTGACGGGAATGCAGTTTTGGCTATCTTGACTTGCAGTTTTGGAATAATTGGTTTCCTAGAAAATTATGAAAATTTGACACAATGATCTTCAATGTCTTAGCTTTCTTCTCCAACTGGCCTTGTGCTAAAACTCCAACGAAAAGTCAATTTTCCATCAAAAACCTTCTAAGAGTGCAGAAAGTTGAAAAATAAGGAAAGTAAAGTAATAATACTCTTTTTAATCAACATTCCATACAAAAACCAAATATAAAGGGTCTAAAAATTTAAGAAATCAGGCACTTATCAGCTTAAGAAGACTCAAGTTCCACTACTGCCTCCAATGGTTAAAAAAGCAGTCTGGAAGGCCAAAGAAAAAGAGGATAATAAAGGATCTAGAGATGGAAAAGAAAGATTCATAATGTGAGAAAATAAGGCTAAAATGAAAATGTGACACAGTCACATGACGAAGATGCTCGAAAAAGGGTCATAACAAAGGGAGTTGCAAAAATAAACCAAAGCATGCTCCTAAAGGAGTTTATATTGACAACTAAGTGCCCGTTTGACATTGCTTATTTGGGGTGATAAAGTGATTTTTAAAAAATGTTGGGAAGCCTCGTCCGTTTGGTAAACTATGAGAAAATCACTTATTATTAAAAATTGATGTGAGAGAAAGCAGCTAACGAGGTGCTTTCATTTTGTGATTATGCAGAAATCAGTTTCGAAGAGGCGTTATATGGCAATTATTTTCTGATTATGCGGGAATCAATACCAACAACACTTTTAACAAAAAGTTTAGCAAACGCCAAACTGCTTTATCTTACAGTTGATTTCTCTCACAGCAAATCTGACAGAGATTATTTCCACAGCACATTAATGCCAAACTGGCCCTAAAACCCCATTTGCTGCAAATGTTAGTCAAACCCCATCTGCTGCAAATGTTAGTCAAACCCCACCTACTACAATTGTTAGTCAAACCCCACCTCCTTCAATACCTAATTTGGGTAGAATTCATAAGCTACTAGTAACTTAGTATTTTTCTTTATTAATTACTGATTGTGTACATATATATAAGTAGCATGTAAAGATGTATAATTTGTTGTTGTTGTGTTATTACAGCTGAGGAAAAAATATGTTTCCAACACTCAAAGAAGATAAGGAGGCAAATATTAGAATGCTAGAGTAGTAAGACATTTGCCTATATTGATGACTTATGTTGATGAAATTTTGTTGACTTATGTTTTTCTCATTAAATATTTATATTATCATTATATTTTCCAATTGCATACTCGTCCACCACCACCACCTGCTCCTAACCACCATGCCCACAGGTCCTAGAGGTGGAACTTTCATCACACCTGCTTATGCTATAATTAGAATGAGGCCACCCATTCCTCTACCTACTTCTGCTCAAAGTCAGAATGCACATGATTCTAGTGGACTGAGGTGAACTAGAAATTCTCCTCCATGGAAACTAACATGAAAGGAAGCTATTAGAAAGTAAGGCATGCATATTCCAAAGAAGCAGAAGACCTGATTTTTAAAAGGATGAGACTTTTATTTTTTATTTTTTATGTAGACTGATATAATTCAGGATATTGTATTTTGCCATATTTTGTGAACTATGGCCAAGTTCGTGTACTGTAGCATGTGTATATTGCTTCTAAAGACATTGTATTTTGGCTTATTTTGTTAATCATGGCCAAGTTTGTGTATAGCAACATGTGTATGTTGGTTTGTATACTACACCTTGTGTATGTTTCCATTCCATTTCATTTCATTTAAGCCAAATAATGTAAGAACCAAAACAAGAGCTGAATGTTTTCATTTCATGACTAGAAATTTACAACCTCTGAGACATGTCTTTCCCCAAATTTTGATCACAATGTTACAACCAAAATGTTTGAGCAACAAAAACATGTCTTTACCCAAATTGAAGCACCATCTAAGCACTTCATTTTTTAACTAAATTGAAAACCACATTGATAGTAATCAAGATACAAATAATCAACAACATCTCTTTTATTTCTTTCAACAGATTCAAAACATCTCCAACTTGTAGTTGCATAGATTGAAACAACTCGTCATAGCTACCATCGTTTTCTATCCGTTGTGAGTCTCTAAAGATTATATCTTCCCTCTCTTTTGTTTTGTCAACATCATCACACCATACGAAACCTTTGCATCCAGCACCTTCGTACATCATACATCCACTTTGCATAACCACAACATCCATATTATAAAATAAAACTAATTCAAAATCATGCGTTACATATTTCCTTGTACACTTCCAGAAATATTTGTTGTAATGTTGTTTTGTAGTTGATAGAAGTAATTTCATTTCAGCTCCACATAGAGGGTACCTCAATCCATGAGAAGATGAAGTAGACATCTACAAACTACAAGAAACGCAGCTAATTGTAAGAACTGAAATAATAATAATAAAAAATACAAGAAATAGGCAAATTTAGAAACTAAAATCGACATATAACCAAATCAGACAAGAAATTACCACCAAAATGGATGAATTCCTACCTGAAATTGATGATTCCCTTTCAAATCGTGACTTCGCCTATCAAATCTTCATCAATTGGATGATATTGAACCTTATACCTCAAAATTGACTAGCCTTTTCCCCAAATTCCAGAACCCTAAATTTTTTTTTGGGGGAGAAATCGGGCGCGACAATGGTGTTTTGATTCAGGGGTTAAGGCAAAGTGTAATAAAACCCTTGCACACACGTACCACGTGCGTCTTAACTGACGGAATTCCCAATTGGACTTGTTTTGTTAACGGAATTCCCAATAGTTAAAGGTTATTAAGTCAATGTCATTTTCTCTATAAAAAAAAACTCTAAGAAATAACATTAATAAATTTTATAAGAAATGAAGCTAATAAGTCTAAAACTTGATCATCAATTCATTTCAAGGTGTATAAATATGAGTCCTTATGTCTAAAACTTCTCATTCCTCACAAATGATCCTCACAACTCTCCAATTCTCTAATTCTCATATTGCAGTCAAGATTCTCATTCATCTAATTTGCAATTTTGCGCTTAAATCCTCTTCATATATTGGATTAATTACAATTTTGGTCACTCGAGTTTGGCTTGATTTTAATTTTGGTCACCGCAATTTTAATTTTCCGATTTTGGAATGTCATATTT